AAGTTAGAGTGCTAGAATGTAAGGTCAAAATATTTTCTATATGTACACTTTTCATCAAGGCATATAATCTTCCTGATTTTCATTTCACATCCAATGGATTCTTAAAGTTAATTAATGTGTCTTAAAATATAACAAAAATTGCACATGTGTTTGATTTAATGTAAGAAAATATAATCATTCTCTAAGCTTTTCTTCAAAAAACAAGTTTTTAAGAAAAAACAACACCCTCTGTCTATAATTTAATCTTAGTGTTCTATAAAGTCCTGCTTTTAGTATCAGCTCTCAGAAGTGAATTGTTTGTCAAATTTCTATTAAGCTGAAGGTGAAAAATTAATGAACCATTTCAGATATTTCAAAAGGAATGCAAGTCTGTTAGTTATGCAGCACAACAAATCAAGATTTGTCTGTGTTTGAGTATGGTCTAAGGTTCCTTGATATTTAACTTTTGAATGCATTGTTTCTTATGTTTAATGGAGCATTTTAGAGGGAAAAAGAATGCAGTTATTGATTTTTTACTAACAGATAAATATATCTCAAAGATGGTTTTAGTAATCGAAATACTTTTTTTTACCCACAAAACGTAATTTCAGAGCAAGGATAATCAGTGAGAGTTGCTGGAGACACCTGGGTTTTGAAAACCTATGTAATGTGTCTGCTGTGGGAGAGCAATTAGCTGGGGAGAAAGCATCCGCATATAGCAAGCATGAGGTTAATAAAATTATAATTTATTCTTTGGTTGTACCTGTGATCCATTTTCTAGGCATTCAGTAAAATAAAGGCATTGAAACTACCTTTCAAAGAATTATTGATTCCTTCTTTTGTTTCCCCAGTAATTATTGAGCTCCTCTTAGGTTCCTCACAATCTGCTTGGCTTTGAGTATCATACAATGAGGAAGACGACTTGATTCTTTGCCTTCAAGGAATTTAGCCTTTAGAGGGAAAACCGAAGTGTTTATTATGGAATGCTATTGTTAATTAGAAATGGCGAGCACTACAAGAAAGGTACAGATATATCACATCAATAGGAGGTGTCAGAGAAAGCTCACAGAAGGTGACTTGTAAGTTAGAGTCCGACATGTGTGATGCAGGAGAAAAGCAGGTGAAGTAGATGGGTGGGCTTACCCAAGAACATGGAAGATGTAAATCACAGAATATGTAGGGGGACAGCTAGTTTTAGGATAAGATGCATGAAGAGGAATGATGGGGAATAATGTTGGAAATATAGGTCGGAGATGGTGAAGGGCCTTGAATGGCAAGGTAGAGTTCTGTATTTGAACTGGGGAGAGGTGAAATCACGCAGCTTTCCAAGAACTTTCATTTTGTGTTGGTAATGTGTCAGCACCTAACATCTACGAAAACTTCAAAATAACAGATTGTTCATTTCTCATAAATGCTACAGTAGTCACCTCATTCCCAGGGGCGATGTTCCAAGATCCCCGGTGGATTCCCCAAACTGCAGATACTACCAAACCCTATATATAATTGTTTTTTTCCTATACCTACATGCCTATGATAAAGTTTAATTTATAACTTCAGAATAGTAAGAGATTAATAACAATAACAATCATGTCATAGAACCATTATAACAATATACTGTAAGAAAAGTTATGTGAATGTGGTCTCTCTCTCTGTGATGCCTGAGAGAGCTGGGAGGTTACTAACAGGCGGGTAGCATACACGTGTGGAGATGCTGGGCAAAGTGATGATTTACTTCTCAGGCCGAATGGAGCAGAATGGAAAGAGATTTCATTATGCTACTCAGAATGATGCTCAATTTAACAATTATAAATTTTTTATTTCTGGAATTTTATTTTTTTAAAATGTTATTGATGTCAGAGAGAAAGGGAGAGGGACCGAGAGAGAGAATCATTGGGATCAGAGACTGTAACCCTGGCATGTTCCCTGACCGGGAATTCAACTGTGACCTCCTGGTTCATGGGTCGATGCATTATAAATTTTTTATTTCTGGAATTTTATGTTTTTTAAATGTTATTGATATCAGAGAGAAAGGGAGAGGGACCGAGAGAGAATCACTGGGATCAGAGACTGCGACCCTGGCATGTTCCCTGACTAGGAATTCAACTGTGACCTCCTGGTTCATGGGTCGATGCTTAACCACCAAGCCACGCCAGCCTGGCATGGATTTTTCCATTTAATATTTTCAGACCTCAGTTAACTGTGGGTAACTGAAACCCTGAAAAGTAAAAGTGCAGATAAGGAGAGGCTACAGTATTTCATTGTCTGGTGTACACTAAAAGTTTCAAAGGCAGTGGCCGAGGGAGGAAATACATGCTGGGCGAAGCAGAGGAGGTGGCTATCAAAGGCTTTCTGCTCTGTGCACACTGTTGATGCCTTGAGATTTTTATCACTGTGACTCCAGGTACAGCCTAGAGCAGCAGACATAGGGCTGCTCACCTGTGGCTGAGAGCAATTTCCTTGTGGTCTGAAAATCCCCTTTCGTTTATCTCAGCAAGCTATATTGCTACTAGCATCTTCTGTGTGAACCAGGACCTGGCTCATGGCCATGCAACCTGTACAGTCTCCAGGACCCCCACTTAGAAGGACCCACACCTAATTTAATGCTCTGCTATTGCCATATTGAAACTCTCCATACTTTTTGAACAAGTAAATGGTTAGGAAGCAGTGAGCTGCACTGTGATCAAAATGCACTGCCATACATCCATATAAAAGGGGTTACTGAATTATGAGAGCAGCAGAGTGCTTATATAACAAAACCGATTCGAAGCTTGAATCTTCATTATTTTTCTTCTTCAAAGCCATGGCTTCTATGGTTGCCACAGGGCTAAGCTAAATATCATTTCTTAGCCTTGTGGTTTTGCAGTTGATAAATTAAGGAAAAACTTCTGTAACATATTTTCTCATTTATAATCTGCCTCCCGGAGCCTGGGTACCAGTATGGTTGAGTTCTGCACCCCCTGCAGTCCTTTCAAATTAAATTCTGAGAAAAACTTTAGCAATTATTTTCCCTAATAAAAGTTCTGAAAAATGGAGCCCTCTGTTCGCAAGCATTATTGGCTGCCTGGTAAAGTCATTCCGTTGTATATTTTATTTTCTGAGTCAAGATAATATATAAACTGAATAAGGTATCTTTTAATTCTATCATTACACACAGTTTTTTCTCTTTACCCTGAGTACTTGTGTATTTTTTCCCTTATTTGTGCTATCATGGCTGTTTTTCCTTTTTATTTGTGTTTAATTTTTGTTTTCTCAAACTTAGAGATGAATATAGTAAAATATTCCTGCAAAGCTTAATTCATAAAAATATGTCATCTTCTCCCATACTTCCTTGTGTCCTTTCCTATCGCCCAAAGGTAAACACTCAATTGCTTTCAACATTTTTCGTTATTTTTTTTTATATTTGCCTCTCGGTCTGAAGAGCATTTAAAGAGTTGAATTCATGTTTCAATTTTATCTATTATATTGACTTACCACTATGGACGACAAAGATTTAATTTTATTTCACAAGTACCCTTACCCTTGACTTTTTTTTGTCTATTTTTCCTATAGAATGTTGCTTTTGTGTTACAAGGTCATAGATTATATTGTTATGACTATGTCAATACTATTCACATCGTATGATGATTATATTTCTTTCTTGAAAATCTTTTTACTCCCTTTGCAGCTAATGGTTGCCTCATTTCATAGATTTTTTTATTTTTCTTTGTATTTAGAAACTCTCCACATGCTAACTCTGATCTTACTGTACATGTTCTCCCAATAGAGCAACACATACCTAGTATTTCCATTGTTTTCGTCTTCCTGGAGACCTCCCCCCCTTCCTGAGCCTCTGGACTCCTATTCCTCTCCTCACTAGGTCTGCTGCTCCTGTGCCATTTTAGCATTGTTTTTGGATGAGAGTTGCCCTTAAGAGTGGCAGAATTAATTAAGTTAATTTGAAGTTCTTTGTATGGGTGGAATTTATTGACGGACTGGTTTTAACATAGGGTGTCTTGGATGAGTGGCTTTATTGGTAGACTTCAGATTTTAAGTATTTTTATATATTCTATGTTGACCTAGTCATGTTTACCAGAAGTGAATTCTCTGTTGTCCTAACTGGAAGGAAGGGTTCTGGGCATCAAGAGAGTAAAACATCGAAAGAGCCTCAGCAATAGTAAGGTCATCCCATTGAAGTATTCAGCTCACCATTCTCTTTATCCGGTGTCTCTATGCTGGTATCCCGCCTTCCGTTTTCTGCTGGAGCGAAGGAGGGAGGAACAGGCACTGTTCACATCCACAGTGTGACTGAGGGGGCAGGAGGAGAGACCCCCCAATCAGAATTTCATCAAGTCCTCCTTTGCCCCGACTTCACTAGGTAGCAGGCATTGTCAATACCTACACCTTTCTGGGTTCTGTGGTAGAAACTGCATTGCTTTTCAGCATTCCCCCTCTGCTGGCTTAGGTTTTGGTCTCCTTGGTCTGTTATCTACTATTCATCTGCTTTACAGCTTGTAGAATCTTATTGTTATTGTCTTTTTTAGTCTCTTAGACCATGTGGATTAGTGCTTTTTAAATTCCTTTATTGTCATTTCCGAATGGAGGTAAGTGCGCGCGCGCGCGCGTGTGTGTGTGTGTGTGTGTGTGTGTGTGTGTGTGTGTACAATCTGCTATCATTTACTAACATGCATAATAGTATTTGGACTGAATTTTTATTAAGTACTGCAAATCATTTTTAATAAGTAGAGTGTAAATAATGAATAAACAAATGAACAAAATAAACCTGCCACTCATAGTTTAAATACTTATTACAGAAAATTTTTCTTCCAGTGTTTTTTTTCCTGATTTTTTATTATTTTAATCTTTATACATAGGTCCTCCTTTTTGCCCCATTAACCTCTTCCAGCCCTTTCCTACCCACCCAAGGCCCTCACCACCCCATTGTCTGTGTCCATGGGTTATGTATATATACATACAAATTCATTGGTTGATCTCTTCCCATTTCTCTTGACAAAGGATTCTGTATCTTTCTCTCTTGAATACAGTTGGAAGCTTTAGGCAAAACCGATGGAACCTCACCTCTCTACTAGTGCAGCCCATCTCAGCGGCACTCGTGGCAAAACTGATCTCTTCGTCCAAAGATGGGACCAAAAATGGTGTCTGTCGCCCTCTAGAACTCCCACCGAGTGGTAATGTATTTATAATGTCTGTCTGTGTGTCTTATCTACACTAATAAAAGAGAAACATGGTAATTGGCGTACGAGCTACCCTTCCCATTGGCTAATCAGCATATCCTTATGCAAATTAACTGTCAGCCAAGATGGCGGCCGGCAGCCAGGCAGCTGGAAGCGAACATGAGGTTTGCTTGCTGCAGTGACTGCGGACTCCAACCCCCGCCTGACTTGACGGCCTCTGAGCTACAACTCTAAGAAACTATGTACTATGTTGCAAATGTAGTAGCTAAACAAAACCCCAGAAATCAGCTTTCAGCCAGCTTTATAATGTCTGTCTGTGTGTCTTATACTTTTATAAGTACTGTGTTCATTTTTAATCTCTTAAATTAATGTGATTAGGATTGTGCTTTAAAAAAAACAACAACACACATTTATTTTTTAATGAGGTGCAGCCTTTACCTTCTCTGTCCCTTTAAGGGATATTTTTGGAAGGTAATTTTGATAAAGACTGAGAGTTGACCAAACTCAGAGACTGAAAAAAAAGAGGGAACACATTTTGGACTGCAATAAAGAAAAGCAGCTTTGCACATAAAGCATTTTGTAAGTTTCATGAAAATCTGCTTAACATAGCTTCCCGGTTTCAGCTTCAGCAGGCTTGTTGCCTGCCAAGATTCAGAGGATAGCAGTCAGCTATCTGGGGTATGAAGTCCTTTAGTAGAAAGCATTAAAGCCTAATTCCTGCAATTGACTAAAAAATCCCTCTGTCTTTACACATCATTGCCCGAGAGATGCTTCCTGTACTGCAGTGCAGTTTGTCAGGCCTTGTTGGACCACATAGGATAAAACCGAAGAAATTAAACTACCTGTAGTGGTGAAAGCGCTGCTGCCTCTTGTTTCTGCCTCCAGCCTCAGCATTAGAATTCTAGAGAGGAGGTTCTCTTTCCATATCGTTAAATTTGTATCTAGTCGCTGTGAAATTCAACTTGTGGGGCTGTTTTTGTGTCCAGACCTGGAGGCTTAACTACCCTTGTTTTATTTCATCTGTTTATCTCTTGGCAACAAAAGCATTAAAAAGATGTCTCAAAGAAGCCTAAAAAAATCTGAATACATTCAGAATTGCCCTCTGGTAGAGATATAGCTTTTCAAAGGCCTATAGATTGAGAGCCTCCTAAACTGATTATTGATTGAGCAAAGTGGGAAATATAGACAACAATGATAAGTCTATGTCTTCAAAGTGGAATGAAGAAGCCCTTGAATTGTGTTTTTGTGTGTGTGTGTGTGTGTGTGTGTGTGTGTGTGTGTTTTCTGTCTTCTATTCTGAGCCCACAAATTCATTATGGGCTCAATTTGTTAAAATCTACAAGCAACAATGTAATAATAGTCTAGTTGTAAGGAAAGCACTGGGCTTCATAAAAGACTAGATTGAAGCTCAGATATAATTAATTGATTAATTCAACAAATATTCAGACCCCCGATATGTTCCTGCCATCCTCTGTCCTCGGTGAAGTGTTAGCTTCCTCGCCAGCACCCTGCACCACCTCCCTACCAAGAGCCTCTGTGTCTGCACCTACAGAAGGACATCTAAGGTTCTAGTATCTCACGTTGTTCTGAGAATTAAATCATGACGGACATCTGAGTACTTTTGTATACTGTAAAATGTTATGTTAGCAGCTGTCTTCCTCATCCAATAACCATATCAATGTGCTCCACAATATGTCAAATGTCTGCATAATGATGCCATAGCTAAGCAAAATAGCAATCTCCAGTTTTATCTCTGCAATAATTTAGCCACATACATGGCTAAGAAGACATAGTGAAGCTTAGAAGACATACTGAGATGTATACTGAAACCTGCTTATAACTCTAGTGTTAAAGAAGCAACGAGATAGGCCTGCTTTAGAGCTATAACTCGTTTGGGTCATTGAGAAGTTTACCAGTTAAAGCCT